TTTCTTTAACTTTCATGGTTGTGGTAAATCTGCATGTGTCTGCAGCTGGAGGCTGAGACTAGCTCTTTGAGAGCCGTTCAAGGATCCTGGGAACCCAATGCCATGATCGAAAGTGATCCATTCTCCTTCCGTCTTCAGCCAAACACCATGGAATGTGAACCCACTTTACAGATGTATGCTTCTGTTGTGGCTTCTGTTCTTCTATGCTTCTACTCGCAAGTATCTATGACAAGGATTGTGTTTTGACAGGTATCACCACTTTGTTCCTCCTGAAGCAGCCACCCCAGGGAACACTGGTGGGGAGAACACTTACATGCTGGGCTGGGGTCTTTGAACTGTCTACACCCAGCCGACTGGGAACAGCTTAGAATCAATGTCTTCTTCGTTCTCCAATTTGACTCCTTGGTTTGAAGGAAATGGATGACCTAAGTTTGCAGTCGCAGTTTACTTCTCTCATTAATCCTAGAACTTTAACCTGATCGTGTTTTCTCCTACTTGCTACTATATATATCATACTTGCATGTCTGTTCTATGTGTGCAACGTGAAAGCTATATGTAATTCATCATGCTGCACCATGGAAAGTTGTGGCAGAATAATTTAGCAATTGAGAAACTAGTGTTGGATTTTGTCTTTTGAATGGTCTCACCACCATGATCGTAATGATAAGAACAGGGTTGTGGCACATTGGTTTCTGGTGCTAAATGCAGTGAAGGTCAGCACAGCAATTCTATTATGGGTTTGTGGAGATGGAAGGTCCAAAGAGCCGTGATGAATGAACAGCTTAGCAATCCAAATGGGTTCATCACAACAAGATTTAGCCTTTTGTGCTGCACCAATCACATTAATTCTTTGTAAGGAGATCACACCCTCTTTTATTTTCTGAAAATAAGTCATTTCATATGATTGAAACTTCAAATATGGTGTCTTGACAATACTGTACTTTGCTTTACTGCTATTAGATGGATGGTCAACATTTTATTTGAAGGCGATGACCACTGCACGCCTGTCGTCAGAGGATTGTGCATGTCAATCCATGTTTCTTTTTGGAAAGTTTTTATTCTAAAAGTGCACCTTCCAATGTTGATCCTTGTCAACAAAGTTAGGTTTCGTTCTCTTCCTCCACCACTTTTCCACTCAGGTGATTTATTTTAATGGGGTAGGTGAGTGCTTCGACACGATTAAATTCCTACCCAAGGATCTCTCCCTTCTCAATTGATCCCCCTCTTCCTCGTCCATCGTTATCTCCGTTGCAGCTCTTAGCGAGAATGGGATCCATCAAGGACATGCTGCAGCTGACACCCGAGGAGGACGACAAGGCATGCACGTTCGCTCTGCAGCTGGTGGTGGGTTCCATTCTCCCAATGACAGTCAAGGCGGCCGTGGAGCTCCAGCTACTAGAGATCATCGTCAAGGCCGGCCCCGGCGCCAAGCTGAGCCCCGCCGACGTGGTGTCCCGGATGCCAACCGAGAACCCCGAGGCGGTGGCCATGGTGGACCGGATCCTCTGTCTTCTCGCGGCCTACGGCGTCGTCAGTTGCTCTGTCGAGACCGACGACGATGGCCATCCCTCGCGCAAGTACGGCGCGGCGCCTGTGTGCAAGTACTTGACCAAGAACGAGGACGGCGTGTCCTTGGCCGCCATGAGCTTGATGAACCAGGACAAGATCAACATGGAGAGCTGGTAATCCAGAGAACCATCAACTACTCTTTCTCGTTTCTTCTCAAACTAATAGTTGGCTGAAGGTTGGTTTTGCTTCGACAATGAGCGCAGTTATTACTTGAAGGATGCGGTGTTGGAGGGCGGCGTCCCCTTCCAGAAGGCGTACGGGATGACGGTATTCGAGCACCATGGCACCGATCCACGGTTCAACAAGCTGTTCAACGAGTGCATGAGGAACCACTCTACCATCCTCATGAAGAAGCTGCTCGAGACCTACCGCGGCTTCGACGACGTCAAGGTGCTCGTCGACGTCGGTGGCGGGACCGGCGCCACCATCCACATGATCACCGCCAAGCATCCGCACATCAAGGGCATCAACTTCGACCTCCCTCATGTCATATCCACTGCACCACCCTACCCAGGTCCAAAGCTTACAACCCACGCGCCACTGTTACAGTACCCATTGGCCATTATTTAGCTCACATACTTGGGATACAATGGCTGCAGGTGTCGAGCATGTCAGTGGAGACATGTTTGAAAGAGTTCCGAGTGGAGGAGACGCCATCTTCATGAAGGTTAATACTTCTGCTAATGACGTTTTGCTTACTTGGAGCAGAGGATTCCCTCTGTCAAAAGATAACTAAAATTAAACACATACAACAACTATCATTGTTATCGTTAATATCTGATTTCATGATCAAATGAATTTGCAGTGGATCATTCATGACTGGACTAACGAGCAATGCACAAAAATATTAAAGAACTGTTGGAAGGTTTTACCAGAGAAAGGAAAGATGATGGTGGTGGAATATATACTCCCCATAATCCCGGAGTCAAACTTGATCGCACAGGGTGTTTTTACCGTAGACATGGCCATGATGATCCAGACTGGAGGAAGAGAACGGACACAGAAAGAGTTTGAGGCGTTGGCAAAGGAAGCAGGGTTCACAGGACCTGTGAAGGCTACCTACATATCCATGTATGCCTGGCTCATGGAGTTCACAAAATAGATCAGTACCTATACAAGTTCTGCCGTTGTGCTCTGATTGGAGTTCTGTCCTTCGTTATTGGAAGACGCCCTGAATAAAGTTTGCTACTGTTTGAAATAAAGAATAAGATACTTTGTAGAAATGCATTTGAGCAGAGCGATCATGTCACACTTAATCGTCTACCAAATCAATTGCACTTCCAAAATCATTGTGGCCAACTGACGAACTCTAGAAATGTGGTGACGCTGAATAAGGCTTTGACTACTTCTCGCGTGCGACTAAAGTCAACTGTCGTTTCCCAACCTTTACCGATTTGTCAACCTCAGATGCACAGGTTGAATTGAAACTGACGGCAGATAAGCTAAGATTTTCCCAGCTCAGATTTTTCTCAAACTATACCAGAAAATATCGCTGCTCTATTGAGACAAATCCTTCCTCTATAAATAAAAAAATATCATATCAAACACAGATATATTCTTCTTTGTTTCATTCTTTATATGGTATCAGAGCGATCTCTCGCCTCTCTCTCAGCCATCGTTGCCTATCCAATCTTCGGATCTGATTCCGTCGAGCCTTCGACCATCGACTCACCACTGGTAGATCTCTCCATCATAGCCTTTGTTCATGTCGGACTTCCCATGTTTCGTTGGTCTGCTCAGCAACCTGTTCTCTTCGCTGTCAACCAAATCGCAGGTTCATTAACCGTTGCCAATGTTCTCCTACCTGAGTCGACGGCTTTCTTTGCGATCACCTGCTTTCCTCTACCTTGGCGCACCTCCGGCAACATTAATTTGAAACAACGAAAGCTATTTTGCTGTAGTCACTTTCTTCCCTATGGCTACTGTGGCACTTCCTCGGCGACCAGTGATCGTATTCTTCGCTGTCGTTCTGTGTCAGTGTCTCTATGCTGTCCACGCTGCAGCTTGTAGTAGCACTTATTGTTGTCTACGTGCTCTTTGCCCAAGCGGGTCGTTCTCATCTACCATCGATTTGAGTACTTGTTAAGATTTCTCACGATAGCAATTGAGATTTCTTTAACTATATGAGAAAACATTATTATTCTGTAAAAAATTCTACCACCTAATATGTATAAATAAAAAGTACCGTATCATAAATATTTTTTCATTGTTTCCTTATTTGCACACAACCCATTTGCCTCCACTGTACGGTGAACATTTATTCTCTGAAAACTTCCGGTCACACTCAGACAAACCAGCCATGTACACCGAACAAAGTCAAATCACGAGTTAAGAAATTAGTGGCACGCACATCATTTCAAAGCAGAGAACATCATATTCCGTCTACATATCTTGAAGATGTCGCTCAATTATTTGATCCAATTAATTATGTTGGAGGGGATCACATGCACCTCTCGTCTTTTCAGTGAGTTAATGTCGTCTCGTGTGTTTGAACCTCAAAAAGTTTTGTCTTGGCAATGTTACGTGGCTCATCAAAATCTACAAGTTCACATCTGATGTTATCAGACTTGTGTCTCATTTAGGCACCTAAGGATACATTATCGTGGGTAGATGTGAGCAATCTCCTACTTCTCTCCATTGATGTGGGTTGTTCATGCAGACAGTTCTTTCTCTCTCTTTTTTCTTACATCTAATTGAAATTACTTGTCCTCTTCTACGACTTCTTCTGGATCGATCAATCTGACGACTCACAACAAAGCCTGAGCAAAGTTTAGCTAAAACATAAATTTCATTACCTTAAGAAATATTCATATGTGATGAGAGATTAAAAAAAAAACTAAAGGAATAGTTTTATATTAATAAATATCGAGTCAGATGATATATATATATTTGAGTCTAATTCATACTCTAACAACTTAACCTCTTGGATTAAATTAGGTTTGTAAAAACAAAAAAAAATAATGAGTAAAAAAAAGGATGATAAAAAAAAGAAGCTTTGATGATTAAAAAAAAGAGATAGAGAAATTAGGATAATTGAAAAAAAAAAGGCATATCATTAAAATAAAAATAGAGAGAAAGAAGGAGATTTGAGTCAAGTAAAAGAAAAAATTGATTAAAAAGAATTTAGCCAAGATGAGCTTAGTAGCTTGGGGCGTGGGATATTTAAGTTGGTTGCACTATCTATTCTTAAAAGAGGACTAAAATAATAATCTCACTTGATAAATATTGAGAGAATCAAGTAACATAGATTGTAACTTAATTGTTTAATTTTTTTAGGTTGAATTGATATCTGCTCAAATATATTAACTTTGATTAATTGAAATTATAATATTATCGTTGTAGTTGTAGGATACATAGGGCTTCCTCCAATGGACCGTAACGTTATAATTAGTCCCTAAGGAAAATGACTGTTATATTTGGAAGCATATTTGTCATTGCTAGGCAGTAGAGCATTCCGATCCAATAAATCTTATCGGAAGTTTATTTAGCACACCAAATAAAAGTTTCCATCAAGAACAGAATCTTGAAGCACAATAATCAGGAAAAGAGTTCAAATTCTCTAGTCTACTTGGTGAGTTCCATGATGCATGTGCCGGCGAACACAGGAAGAGCTTTGAATCCGGTAAAACCGGCATCCATTGCTAGAGCTTGGAACTCTTGCTTCGTTCTCTCTTTGCCCCCAATTGTGTAGGCCAACATGCAGATATCTAACTGGTAGATGTACTGATCTCTCGGAGTCACCTCTGGAACTTCTGGAAGAATGCATTCGATCACGATCACCTTCCCCTTCTCGGAAAGAGCCTTCCAACAATTGTTCAGCAACTTCGCGCAATGCCCATCATTCCAATCGTGAAGAATCCACTTCGTTTGCATAATAATACAGGACAAGTAAGTCGGACTAATCTCACTATAATCATCATTCAAAAGATAAACAATTGATATCCCCTGTCGATTTCTCTCTTAGTTCAGAGGTTCGATGAATTAGGAAAATGTCTTATGCGAAATCAGAATCAATTTCGTCCTCGACACAATCAATCAGCATGAATTTTTTTGGGCTGTAATAGTCATGGAGTCTTTCTCGATGTTGGTACACTGCTGTAATAAGTCGAGATCACAGGTGGTCGAAGTGGGATTGTGCATAGTCCCTAATTTATTGGCAGAGACGTGTGATCGATGCAGAAGCCAGAAAGAAAATAGTGGTAGCATGTTTTACATAGTGATCGAAATGTCAAAATTGGTAATATATATATATATATATATATATATATATATATATATATATATATAT